ATTTTTTTAACCAATTTTTTTCCCAATGACTTAACAAATGGCCCTCTTTAACAGGAGAAATTTAGATTGCATTTATCAGAGTTTACAAAAACTAACTCTGACTAGGCTAAAACAGAGAAGAAAGTTTTGGAAGCATACCGGGTCTCTCAGGAAGTCAATAGGAAGGCTGAAGATCAAACTTGAAGGACAGGCTCCTGAAATTACAAAGATCCTTTATCAAATAGATGAAATTGTCTGCAGGGCTGACCAGGCATTGAGGCCATTCGACACTACCCTGCGTGTGCCCACTGCCTTTAATAAACTTCCTTTCATGTCCCTTGATCCAGATTTAAAGACCCAAGTGAAATGTCCTATCAGCTTAGACTAGATCTCAGTCTCCGCTCTAGTCACCAGGAGACCAGGAGAAGGACTGTCTTCCTTCCCTGCAGAAGGGGTGGGTTCTGCCTCTGATCAGGACCCACGCCATGGGACAGCCCCCTAGAGAGGAAGAGGGTTTGGATCCTAGGCTGCCAAAGCAACAAAAATATCCCCTAACCTGACAGAGGATTCTGAGTCATTGCTTGAAAGGATAACCTTCCCTAGAATTTAAAATATAAATAAGATAGATTTCTGGCTGTCTGAAATGCTTTTGATAATAGTTTCTCTAGGAGGCAGAGATGGATTGAAATACAGTACGTTCCCACACGACTATCATCTCCTGAAATGCTAGAAATACCTTCGTGTCAAAGTCTTATCCTAGGAAGCCTGAGAGCTGGAATCTAGAATTACATTCAATTTTTTTTTCAGGCCCTTGCTACAAAGAAGTTAGTAAGAGTATGCATTTTCTCCCTCAAGTCTGCTGTCTCCTGTTTGCGACTGATACTACCCACAGCAGCGTAGCATCTGTGTTTCAAGAAAATGATGTGTGAATACAGTTTTCAAAAATGCATCCTGTCTAGATAAAAAAAAAAAAAAAAAAAAAAAAAAACTAAAAATATGTTTGGTTGCCACTTTGTAGAACCTATTGAATTTGCTTGTGAATGGGAATCTAATTGCCATCCATTTCTAGTGGAGCCTTCCATGAATATTACATTTCCATTAAAAAGAGAAGTCAGATATAGCATCATGGTGTTCATGTAGAAATCATAAAAATAAATAATGACCAGTTGGTTGTTTAATAATTTATCTTTCTTTTTGAAAAACCATTAGAGGAAATAGGCAAATCTACAGGTACAGAAAATGTCATTCATCGTTGGCAAAAGGAAAAGGAATGTTTTTACTGAAGTTTTACAGATAGCTCCCTGATTTTGAATGATGACTCCTGATTATTCTCCTGTTCTTCATTTATAATCAGAGAAAGTCTTCTTCATTACCTGCTCTTGTTACCATGGGACTGACATAACAATATTACCACTGCAGATCTGAATTTGAGGGCTGAGCAACCCACACAGCTTGGGTTAGAAGGGCCAGACTTAAACTTGAAGCAGAGAAATCTATTCAACCCTCCATCCAATGGCAGGAACAAATAATATGTTATTTGTAAACGCAGCAACTTGATGTTCATGGTCAGTAACCCTCCTCCTTCTCCTTCTGGTTTTTATTCTTCAGTGATTTGAATGACCAGTACCCATTTGATGGGTTGGTCAGTCTGTTATTCTCATGATTTTGTGTTTACAAGAGCAGTTTTCAAAGGGAAAGGACTATACTAGCAGTTCAGGTAAGGAAATTTGCAGTTAGTAAGGTAAAAGCACACAAAGATGCAAGATTAATATTTCTAAAGCACAGCTCCAATCAATATCTCCCCTGATTAAAGTGAATGTCTCTAATTCACTACCTAATTAAGTCCAGAATTCTATACCTGGACTTCACTGGTCTTCATCCTATAGCCTCTGCCTACCTTTTGGTATTTTATTCTACTTTTTTCCTGTTCTGCATGTACAGTATAGTAAATTTCAGTGGTTCTTAATCCTGACTGCACATCAGAATTATCTGGAAAGCTTTAAAAAAAAATTATGTTCAGGGACCACAACATGCTAAATGAATATGAATATGCAGGTAAAGTACAGGCATCAATTTGGCTCTTGTTTTGGTATTTTTTGTAGGGTTTCTTTAGCTCCTTATTTTGGTTATCTATTGTTAGAAACAAAACCACCCAAGACTTATTTGTGTAAAACAGTGAACATTTTATTATGCTCCCAGATTCTGTGGGTCAACACTTCTGTCTTGGCTGGGACAATGGAAATGGCTAGGGATGCCTCAAAGGGCTTTGGGGGGACTCATCTGGAAGCTTCTTTATTGACATTTCTGCTGCTTAGGCTGGGATAACACAAAGGCTTTGCTCAGTTAGACCTGTCAGCCAGGCTTCTCCATATGCCTTTCCGTATAGCTTGGGCGTCCTCAAAGCATGGTGGCTCAAGGTAGTCAAACTTCTTATATAGAAGCCTGGGACTCGAGGAGCAAATATTCTACTGAAAAAGGTGGAATTGCAAGGCCTTTTATACACCTAGCTTCAGAAGACACAGTGCATCATTTTGCCCCACTTTACTCATTGAAACAGTCATTCTTTCAGATTCAAGGGGAGGGGGCCCACATCTCTATAAGAAGAGTATCAATGAGTCTGTGGCCATGTTGCAAAGTTGCCACACACTCCAGATGATTCCAGTGTACGTCCAGAGTTGAGAAAAACTGAATTCATTTTTTGCAAGCACTTGATCTACAGAGTAGGGCTGGGACTTAGGTGAGGTGAGGGAGATATCTAGGGAACAATATTTAAGAAAGCATCACTCTCAGGATCGTGCAAGTTCATGGCAGGACCTGACAGCGAGTACCTCTTCACGTTTTGTGCCCAATGTGCCTCACTCATCTCCTCCTAGTCCTGGCCCTGCTACAGAGCAGCTGTGCACAAATCATCAGGGTGAGGGGCTTAGATTAAGGGTTAGATACTTTGATATTGGGATTCAGTAAGCCTAGAGTAGGGTCTGGGATTCTGAACATTTACAGGAAACCCCAGTGGACTGCTGACAGCTTCCGGGTGCTTTCCTGGTACTATGCCTTTGCTCATGCTGTTCCCTCTGCCTGGAACGTCTTTTCCTTCCATTACTATCAACCATGGAGTATCTACTGATGTTTAAGGTCCCTCTCTAATGCCACGTCTTTTATCAAGCTTTCATGGCCCCCACAGCCAGATTATAAACTGCCCCTCTAAGAAACCCATAGCATGTTTTACATGTCTTAAGGTGCTCACGTTGTGTCCTGCATTGTGTTTGTCTGTGGGGCTGTTTTATAGAAAGAACATGTTCTCTTTCCTTGGGAGGCCACAAAGTAGAGATCTGGATCCACTCTTTCAGCTTTCACAGGCAGATTCTTGCTTGGACAAGGTATCCTTTTTTTCCTCATCTTGCTTTCAGACAGCTCAGCTTTGAAACCCAGCACTGGCACACACAGTACACATTTCAGATGTTGGATAAACAGTGGATCTATCTCCTGATAAAAGATGTGGTCAACTTACTATTTTTGTAGCCTTCACAGAAGCCTAACTATTGAATTATTATCCTAGTTTAAATTCTTAAACACAGGTAGGGACTGCATCTTTATTGTGACTTCTACTTTGGAAAACTTTTTGCTTGAATATTCCCTGACCGTACTTTCCCCATGGTGAGCTTTTCTGAGCACAGTCTGCAGCACAACCACTGTGGATGGCACTTCCACATTTTAGGCCTCAAAACCCTCTGAGGTAAGTACCAGCATTGTGACCATTTTACTGATGCAAAAAA